GGTCGTCTGGTAGCTGCGGCGGTGTTAGGAGTTAGGGTGCGGGGGGTTACAAGCTGTTTTTCTGAGGAAAAACACATCTAGAATTGCGAGGTATAGGTAAAAATGCAAGGAAATCAACTAATGTGTTCGGTTTTGGTTTTGCTCGCTTATATATAAAAATGAATGTGCTCAGACATATCTTGCTCCTCCTGTATTATAAGACTTGAAAAATCTTTCTTGATGTTCTTAAAGTTAGGGTGCGGGGGGTTACAAGCTGTTTTTCTGAGGAAAAACACATCTAGAATTGCGAGGTATAGGTAAAAATGCAAGGAAATCAACTAATGTGTTCGGTTTTGGTTTTGCTCGCTTATATATAAAAATGAATGTGCTCAGACATATCTTGCTCCTCCTGTATTATAAGACTTGAAAAATCTTTCTTGATGTTCTTAACCTTGGTGAACTTACCTATGGTGTAAAATTGTCACATCCTGTTTTGCAACTTAACTTTGATTTAACATAAAACATCGATGTAACCCGTTAGACTACAGTTCTGTTAAACTAGGCATAAAATGCAATTGGAACGTTGTACCTATGTGATGTAGTTTCGTTTTGCTAAGTGGTAACATGTTTTCTTGTTTCAGGTAATGATTTTGCAGCCCGATCTCCTGTGATAAAACTGATAAATTCTCAGGTATTTACTGCCATGTGAAAATAGTTTCTGTGACGTTTCTTAACAAATCCTGATGTACTGACAAAAATAATGCTGAATAATCTCACTGTGATCCCCAAAGCGAACTGTGGGAACTATTTTGTAAACTTCCATTTAAAATTTCTAATGAAGGCATCCTTAAGTGGTAAAGTCAACCAAAACTACAACATTTTCTTGAAACATGAGAATAAATTTCTTTGCAGCCATGTGTTGCGGCTGATTAACGAGTACTGCTTTACTCACTGCTTACCGAGTAGCACACCACAGCATAGCTAACATGAAGAGCTTTTTTGTGTCACTGTAACATAACAACTTTGTATCTTCCTGAAGAAGTATTATTTGTGGCCTAGCAGATGTATGGGATGTGTTTCTTCAGAGGTGATGCTGTGGGGTTTTTGGATGAGCTGCAGAAAGGGGACATGGCCTGTGGGAAGGATTTCAAGTTCCATTCCAATTTCTCGTGAGCTGCAGCTCCAGTAATCATCCAAATCCAGTCTGAGAAATTATAATCTATTTATTCATTATGGTTTTATCTCCTAAATACACAACTGTTACTCTATGCCAGTTGAAAAATAACTACTGGAGGTAACTGGTATAATTCAGCGCGTTACTGGGTGTTGTGGTGTATTTGTGTATTGTACTGTTTTGAACAAGCCATCACCAGAGCTGTCTTCCAGCCCTAAAATCCCAGAGTTCGTATTCCTCAGGGGATACCCCCCAGTCTGTCGGGTTCTGCTGGGATTGCGATGCTTGAGCAGAAGAAATGAACCTGGAGCACAAGGAGAGAGCAGAACCAGGCCCAAGAGGGGACGCCTCTGGCAGCTGCAGGTGGGCAGTGGCTCTGGTGAGCAAAGGGCATTACAGGAGCTCTGTGAAATCCTGAGCTCTGGCCGGGTAAAGTCACATTTGCTGAGTGGTGTTACTTTTTTTTTCCTTCTTCAGCAGCAGACACAATATTTTTTCGAATTACTTTTTTGCTATGCATTTTTGTGATTGGTAAAGCAGAGATTTTTCTATTTTATTCCTCCCTCCCTTACCTCGTTTATGTCCTGGTTCCAGCAGATTTTCTGTCTCTCCAGCAGCGTGAAATGAGCGCGCAGCTTTTCACCAGCTCAGTTTTCCGACGCGTTTCCCTGGCGTTGCTGTCCCAGGCGCCACCACGGGCGCTGCCGTGAGGGGCGGGGCGAGGGGCAGGGCCGGAGGGAGCGCGGTACCGCACGCTGCAGTTCACAGCCTGCAACGCCAGCGGCCAGGCCCGCGGCCG